CACTTACTTACTCTATTTATTTGTTTGTTTGTTTGTTTGTTTGTTTGTTTATGATAGCAATTCTGACAGGCATGAGGTGGTATCTCACGGTTGTTCTTTAAATTTTTATTTTATTATTAGTTTGAAGTATACAGTACATTGGTTAGACATTTATATAGTTTATAAAATTATCCTCCTAATTGTTCTTTCTCTCCTCTGGCTCTCCACCTAGCCATTATATTAATGCTAACTGCATTCCCTCTGCTGTGCTCCCCATCTCTGTAACCATCTATCAACTACTAATTTGTATTTCTTTAACCTTTTACCCCATTCTCCCAGCTCCCAAACTCCCTCTCCTCTGGCCATCACCAGATTGTCCTCTATATTTGTGAGCCTGTTTTTGATTAGTTTGTTCTTTTTGTTCCTTAGATTCTGCATATAAGTGAAATCACATGGTATTTATCTTTCTCTGTCTTATTTCACTCAGCATAATAACCTCTAGGTCCATCCATGTCATTGCAAGTGATAGGAGTTCATTTTTTTAATGCCCGAGTAATATTCCATTGTATATATGAACCATAACTTCTTTATCCAATCATCTGTTGTTGGACATTAAGGTTGCTTCCATATCGTAGCTATTGTAAATTGTGTTGACATGAACATAGAGTTGCATAGATCATTACATATTATTGTTTTGGTTTTCTTTGGATAAATACTCGGAAGTGCATTTGCTGGGTTAAAAGGTATATCCAGTTTTAATTTTTGAGGAAACTTCAGACTGTTTTCCAGAGTGGCCGTACCAATTTGCAATCCCACCAACAGTGTATGAGGGTTCCCTTTTCTCCACATTCTCACCAAAACTTGTTGTTCTTTGATGTATTGATGATAGCCATTCTGACAGGTGTGAGGTGACATCTCATTGTGGTTTTAATTTGTATTTCTCAGATGATTAGTGACCTCAAGCATCTTTTCATATGTTTATTGGCCATCTGTATGTTCTCTTTGGAGAAATGTCTATTCAGGTCTTCTGCCCACTTTTTAATTGGATTTTTTTTTGGTGTTAAATTTCTGGTAAATTTCCTTCCAGTCACAGTTCATCTCCAAATTGCTATTGTTCTATATAAACAGCTTTCTGTTCTGTTCTTTACACTTAACATTACAACATGGACACTTTATCATGTTAGTGGTTTTCAACCATTCTATTGGGTTGTTTAGGAACTTCCACTACTATAAACACTTTACTCCAACAGCAATACTCTAAACAGCATCTTCTAACAGTAATGATCTAAAGTGCATTCTAAAGTACCATAAGCAATAATATTATCAATAGTCTCATACATAATTTTTTTTCCCAATCTGATAACCTATTTTTCTAGAAAGTAGAGGTCTCCCAGTGTGTATTCACATTTGGAAGTTTCTTGATACTTACTAACTTGATCTCCAGAATATCTGAGCCAAAAAAGTTTTTCTCATATACTGCCATGTCAAATTCACTCATTATTACCAACATTTTATATTCACATTAAATTTGGTGGGTTTTTTTTTTTTTTTTGCCATTTCTTTAAAGAAAAATGTACTTACCATGTGACCTAGCAGCTGCACTCTTAGTGTTGACCCAAGTGAATTGCAAACTTATGTTCATATAAACACCTGCACACAAATTTTATTCATAAACGTCAAAAATTAGAAGCAGCCAAGATGTTCTTTAATAGGTGAATGGATAAAAAAAAAAACTGTGGTATATTCAGCCAATAAATCTTATTTAGCAATTAAAAGAAATGAGCTATCAAGCCACAGAAAGTCATGGAGGAATCTTAAATATATATTGCTAAGTGAAAGAACCAAGTCTGAAAAGGTTGCATGATTCCTACCATATTGCATTCTCAAAAAGGCAAAATTATAGTGACAGTAAGATCAGTGGCTGACAGTGGTTGGAGAGGGGAAGGATGAATAGGTGGAACACAAAGGATTTTTAGGGCAGTTTGTATAATACTGTAGTGATGGGTGAGTGATATTATGCATTTGGTAAAACCCATAAAATTGTAGAACGCAGAGATAACCCTAATAAAAATTATGAACTTTGGTTAATAAAAGGATCAATATCAGTTCATCGATCTTAACAAATGTATCACACCAACACAGGATATTAATAAGAGGCAAAACTGAGGGGAGGGTTAGGAGTGGTAGTATATGGGAGTTCTGTACTGTACTTCCTGCTCACTTTTTCTGTAAACTTAAAACTGCTCTAAAAAAGCTAAAAACGGCATATAATTCTTGTTTTAGGTTTCATTGATTTGTATGAAATTTGAACACTTCTTCATGTTTTTATCTACTTGTATTTAGCCTCTGTTTTTTTCTATGTTTTTTCTTATTATTTTAAGTTTTCTAATTTATTAAGTTACTGCACTTTTATGTTTTTATAAAAATTCTCTCTCCCTCAGATTTTAATTTGCCTTTTAATGTCATTTGGTGTTATTGATCAACAAATGATTTGTTGTATATACTTTAAACTACTGATCTCTTCCTTTGTGATTTCTTTCAATGTTCTTCTGCTTAAAAAGTTTTCACACTTCAAGAAGTCACATAAATATATTATCTATATTCATTTCTAATAGTTGTTCTGTTTTCAATTTTGCCACATTCTCTTTCCATTAGTTATTTAGCTATTTTGAGGTATATAAAAAGTTATCTAGTTTTTTAAACATCACTTATTACATCATTTACCTTTTATGGGTTGGTATGTGATATATCTATATTGTGAACTAAATTCTCATATTGGGTAGTGTCTGTTTCTTGACTGTCCAATTTGTTCCACTGATCTCTTCAATTTATGTCTATCACAATTTTAGAAGTTGCCTGTCCTCATTATTAATCTTCTTTTACAAACTTTCTTGGTTTCCAGCTAAGTTAATATTCCTTAACTTTGATTAGGTAATATTTCTAATCACTCTCCTCAAGTGGATCATAAGTGTCTTAATCAGGATAATTACTACCCAGGAATCAAAAGCAGCAATATTTCCATGGTACTCAAAGTTACAGGAAGGCAGAGTCCATGCCTCTTACCTGTCTGTACTTAGTCCTAACCCAGTCCCTGGCATACAGTAGGCAGTCAAATAATTGTGGAATAAATAAAAGATGAGGAGACAGAAAGTCTTCTAGATGTCTACAAATATTTAAAGATTATCATGGCAAAGAGAAATGAACCTCAGAGAGAGAAACTAAGACCATGTGAGTTATAAAGACACATTTCAATTCAAAGGAAAGAATTTTTCTTTTATGTGCATAAAATTGAAGACAACTGCCTCTAGTTTATAAATTCTCTCCTGTGGCAGAGACCTAAAATTCAAACAGAAACTAAGACCTTTTTTTTAATGGAGTGAAATAAAATGTAAAAGGCTCTCTTTCTCTTTATGTTCAATTGAAAATCCATGATAAATGGTGCCTTTGTTCTTGGTTAAAGGGTTTTATAATAGGCAATTGCCTCTACTATTCCCTGAAAATTTCTTCTAATCTTTCAGTCTTTAAATACATAATCATAGAACACCAGGTACTGTACCAGGTACTGTGCCGCTTGGGATATAAAATGAAAAAGAAATAGAAAAGGCATAATTCTCCCAACCTGAAGAAATTGAAATAACTACAACACAAACATGCAGGACACAATTAGAATGTATGGGGGGGGCGGTGTCTGATTTGGTCTTTGGGATTGAGGTACCTTAAAGTACATTGATCATTATGATGATGATAAAGGGATATATTAGGACAGTAATGGAGAAGTTACTATAGTAATGAAGGAATTATCTATAAAATCTTTTCCCAATAATCTCTGAGTCAAATTTGAGACAGAGAATGGTCTATTTCAAGATATTGGCAAATGGCAGGAGGACAAACTAAAAACATCATTAAATTCTGCAACTCTCAGTGATCTAGCTCTTCTCTACATTTCCCAGAAACCAGAGTTACAAAGCAGAAAGGAGATTTTCATGAGACTGACTGTCCTTCCATGGAATTATACAGCAGAGTGGACAAGCCAGAAGTCAGGAACACTGCAAAGAAGACCCCTGAATGGTGTGGGGCATTCATTTTAAAGAGGTCTTACAGAGAGTAGTGGTAAAAGCAGGAAGGAAAGAAACTATTAAAGAGATTGTCATCAACTAAAAAAAAGAAAAAAAAACTCTTAGTTAAAACATAAGATTTTGTGAGTGAATGAGTTTGAAATGTATGGCACATTCCTGTTTTTCCACTGTTTTAACATTATTCTTGTCTCTTTCCAGGCAATTTCCATAAATTTATATGGAAGCAAGGAACCAAACAGCTATTACAAAATTCATCCTTCTAGGGCTTTCAGAAGATATGGACCAGCAGCCCTTCCTCTTTGGGCTGTTCCTCTACATGTACATAGCCTGTGTTATAGGAAACCTGCTCATCATCCTGGCTATCATCTCTGACTCCCACCTCCATACTCCCATGTATTTCTTCCTCTCCAACTTGTCCTTCACTGACATCTGTTTCACCTCCACCACCATCCCAAAGATGCTAGTGGACATCCAAACACAGAACAAAGACATCACGTATAAAGGCTGCCTTACTCAGATGTATTTCTTTATGGTTTTTGCTGGGCTAGATAACTTGCTCCTGACAGTGATGGCTTATGACAGGTATGTGGCCATCTGTCACCCCTTGCACTACACAGTCATCATAAACCCTCGCCTTTGTGGTCTACTGCTTCTGCTGTCTTGGTTAATCTGCTTGACATATTCTTTGTTGCAAAGTTTGATGGTTTTGAGAGTGTCCTTCTGCAAAGTGATAGAAATCCCCCACTTCTTCTGTGAACTTGCTCAGATCCTCAAGCTTGCCTGCTCTGACACCCTTGCCAATGACATCCTGCAATATTTTGTAACTAGCCTGCTGGGTATTATTCCCTTGACTGGGATTATTTTCTCTTATTCTAGAATTTTCTCCTCCATAATGAGCATTTCATCTTCTGGGGGGAAGTATAAAGTATTTTCCACCTGTGGGTCTCACCTCTCAGTCGTCTCGTTGTTCTATGGTGCTGGCCTTGGAGTCTACCTCACTTCTGGAATAGCCCAGCCCTCCAGAAAGGGTTCAATGGCCTCAGTGATGTATGCAGTGGTTGCTCCCATGCTGAACCCCTTCATCTACAGTCTGAGGAACAGGGACATGAAGGAGGCTCTGAGGAGACTTTTCATCAGAGGAGCTTACTCTCGGTGAGATCACAGAAGTTGAGGACAGACAATAGAGATTGGAAGTGCTGATAATTAGTGTTCCTGAATATGTAATCTGAAGACATAGAGAAAAAATGCTATTCATGATATACTAGGAGACATTCCTGAACCAAAGACAAACTTGAAGCAGCACACCGAGTCTCACCACCTACCGAGGATAAAGTATGACCAACCAATAATTAAATTTCTCATGAAAATAAACTATTTCAAGGATACAGACTCTTGCAAGCATCAAGGAAGGAGAAAGCAAGTCAGGAATGCAGCAGGGGAGGAGAGAGGACAAGGGTGACAACAAATTTTTACACATTATTGGCTCATCTTTAACCCTCTGCTATGTCCTAGCTAGAACATAGCACCATGCCTGCTGGAATGTTTCCCCTAGTCTGTCTGGGAACTGTTATCTAGACTGTCTATATTGACCTCCTTGGCTCCCTAAAATTTTATTTACTGTATCTTGTTTTGGTGGTGGCCGCTGACATATACTGAAGACTTTAATAAGAAACTTCTTTGTAGTATCTTCTTTAAGGGAAAGAAAATTCTGATCTTTGTGGATCCATATGAGCCAGATCTGAAATAAAAGTTCAAAGCAATCTACTCAGTTTTTCTTGCCTGGTTCATGCTTTGCCAAATCTTCACATGCCTGGTTCCTTCTCACAAGTTAGCTTTCAAATCAAAACTGTCAGCTCTTCAAATAGGCCTACCCTGGCCACTATCCTCCTACTCATTCCAATTTTCATAGCACTTACATTTTGAGGGGCAACAGGGCACAGTGGCTAAAAGGTCTCTAGGTTCAAATATCTCTTCATCATTCACTAATGGTACAATCTTGCCCAAGTTACTTCTCTGTAGCTCCATATCCTCATCTATAACAATAAGGATGATAGTACATTTCCTGAAGAGTTCTGGTGGGGATTAAATGTTACACATAAGAGAGGCCAGAACAGTGTCTGGCATAAGCACTGAATAATTGTTAGTCATCACAAGATCTATGAGGGCCATCAGGGTCTACGTTAACCACATGAAAGTGCAAAGAAATTATGAATAGCCACCCAGGGACTCTTCTGTCCCTTTAACTCTATTAACTCCAAAAGCTTGCATTGCCATGAAGAGGTGTGGGAGGTGGCAGTGCAGGGCTCCATTATCAGCAGAACAGAGTTGGAAAAACCGGCTAGCAGGTTGATCATGCTATGAGTTAAGTGGGGCTGAATACATCCCCAAAACTGACTCAGAGCACCAAGAAAGCCACATAGGAGAGGGGGCCTGTGCAAGCCTCAGCCCTCTTAACGGCCCCTAGGGCGCCACATGCTAGCCAGATCTGCAGAGTCCAGGAGAGGACTTTTCTGAACCTAGACACTAAGGATTGGACCAGAAAATAGCCCCACCTAGGACTCCCTACAGCAGGGAACTGAAGAACAAAGCAACCTTTACAATGGTTCAGCTCAATGTAGAGATTCTCTTGAATGGAGCAAAAATTAAACTTTAAAAACCTGTCTTGGGTTGTCTTGAGGACTGTTGAATCCTCTTGGTGATCATTGGATTCAGACTAGGTAAATTCCAATATCTGAATCCTCACTTTACCATTAGGATATTGACTGTTGATAAGCAGTCTCAGATTCTTGATTTATAAATAGTTGTTGGGGTGATTATAGAAAATTAGCCTGTGTCTAATATAGAGGTTTGCAAAAAGTAGTGGGTATCGTATTTATGAACACAGCATTTATTCGTGCCCCAATCTTGTTCCCAAAAGAGGTAGATCTATTGGCAAGATGCTGTACCCTAGAAATCTCTGCCCACCTGCATGCTTCTCCAGCAGATGTCTGAGAGTGAAATACAAAATAATTGTTCCTGAAAAAAAGTCACTTTATTCAGTGTAATAAAGTCTTATATGTCAGAGAATGTGAATTATTTTTTCTGTGCCTTTACATTCAGGATTGGCATGTTTATTCGGATCTGATCCTGAACACTATAAATAAGCCTTCTGCATTTAGCTTGTATTACCTCTTCTATATGGTTTTCCTTGACTTCTTCAAGTTCGACATCCTCTCCTTGAGACTTCCTGAATGGCCATATCAGCTATCTTATTTATTGTTTATATTTCTCTCCTCTTTGATCTTTATAACCATTCAATGGAACCCTAATCCTGGTGACCTGGGATGATTGGATGAAACCAAGAGAACAGGACCATCCTAATAAGCCTGGAACACTATCTGATTGTCCTCTATCTGTCAATTAGTCCCTGGTATAGAAAATTAATAGTCTACCACATGGTTGTTCATCCTGAGTACTGTTAACAATTTGGGGCCAGATAATCTTTTGTGGTAGGGGGTGTCCTATGCACTGCAGGACATTTAGCAGCATCCATGGCCTTATACACTATATGCCAGTAGTTTCTCTCACCCTCATGCCCCAGTCATTAACATTAAAAAATATCTCCAGACATCGCTAAATGTCCCTAAGGGGCATAATCACTCCTGAATGAGCAGAAAGCTAGACAGAGCTTTCTGAAGGACAGCATCCTGCCAATAAGTCTACCTCTTTTTTGGCACAAAATGGGGGCACAAATAAATCCTGGCTGAGAACCACTAATTTAACATGAGCCGGAAGAAATGAGGAAAGGAAAATGTAGAAAAAATGAAGTGAGGGGAAGACCCTGGTTTTCCTAAGGCCCAGAACCGAAGATACTGGCCTCTAGTCAAAAGAGTTCCTGCATGGAGGAGGCTTTAGGTCTGGAATAGAAGCAGCAATGTCATTTGTTAAATAAACAGATAAACAAATTTTAGTTCACCACCTTAATTGTAGTGATAGCTTCACAAGTGTACACAAAATTTATCACATTGTATATTTTAAGAATATAGTTGTATTATATCAATTTTGTCTATATAAAGCTATTCCCTCTCATCTGGATGCTTGCAATACAAAAACTGATCCTGTGGGGACTATAAAAATAGCTACTGTTTCTTCCCTTTCCTGTATCCACATCCCTTCTGTGAAAGTCTAAGTACCCTTCCACTTCAGACTCACCCATGTGATTACACTGGGCAATGGGGTGCAGAGAAACACAAAACAACCAAGGACTTGAAAAGCACTTGCATAGTGGAGCTTGGGCTCTTCTGGAACCTTCTCGCAGCATATATGCAGTCCCCACCTAGACCATTGGATGATGTGACCCGAGAGAAGAGCAAGCCAAATTGGAAGCTGACTGAAGACACAAGTAAGCCCAGCTAGGCACAGCCCAAATTGTCAACCAACAGAATAATAAACTAAATTGTGGTTGTTTTAAACTGTGTTTTGTATAGTTTATTTTGTAGCAAATGTAAACAGGACCCCTCCATTCCATTCTAAGGGGCACAAGTTACCTTTCTAAATTGCAGATCTCATCAGATGTCAATGAATTTCTGTCAACTTCAATTAACATTTAAATTTAGACTGGTATGTAAAGTGCTAATGTCTGTGTCTATGTGTGCGTGTGTATTACATAATCTGTCCCATGTTAGGTCTCCAGCTTTACCTTCTACTTCAAAGATTGTCCTTTTGCATACCAGAGAATATGAATTATTTTTTCCATGACTTTGCTCTTAGGATTGGCATGCTTATTCAGATCTGATCATGAAAAATAAGCCTTCTACACTTAGCTTGCATCACCTCTTCCATATAGCTTTGCTTGATTGCTCTACGTTCAACATCCTCTCCTTGGGACTTCCTGAATGGATTAACTGGCTAAATTAGCTATCTTATTGTTTATCTCTCTCTCTCTCTCCTCCTTGACCTTTACTCCATTAAGGACAGTACCATGTCTTATTGTTTTTCTTCCCAAAGCCAAATTCAGTGTAAGGCACTTAACTGATACTAGTGGTTCCCTAGAGGAAAAAATCATGAGTTAATTGGACTTACCCAAACATTACACTAGATAAGGTCCTGCTGAGACCTCAATAATTGAAAGCGATAGTAAGACAATAAGACTGGGTAAGAGTTAATTAGAAGTTTCCTCTAGGGAGACTGTGTAAGGTCTTATCTCTGTCCCAAGAGCTGGCAGAGAAGTGCAATGAGATTCAAGAGCTCTGGGACACTTAGGAAGAGGTGGGAATTGTTTCCTTCTTACTGAAGTGATAAAGGGGGTAATGGCACTGGATTCCCAAAGCTTCTAATTAAAGAATAGCCCCATTTTACTCAATGCTGAGAGAAAGTGCTCTCCTCCCCTTAGGCCTGGCCTCTACGGTACACTTTTTTTCCAAATCTGGGCAAGTCAGTGATTGCTGTTTCTTTGCTAATGAGTCTCAGAAAACTGAACGAGGCCTGAGGTGCATTCGGCACCTTCACTCAAGGATGTTCAAGTGCCCCTATCACTCACACAAAGACTTGCACAGAAGTACTGCAAGTGGAAAGGAAAGGCGCAGAGATTTCAAGAAGGCAAATGGAAGACTCAAGTCCTGTAACCATGTGCCTCTCCTGTCATCACCATCAGCCCAACTGTTTCATTAGCTGATACAGGCATGAAAGGCACAGCAGACAAGTGAAGCAAGTAAACATTCTGACAAAGGGTCCCAGCGTCTAAGCTGATAAGCTGACTCTCTCTACCTATCTTCTGTGGGTGAATGACTACCTTACCATGTTGTGTAGAAGACTGTAGTTAACCTATGTAGAGTATTCAAATCTTCCACCTTCTTGTGTAAGGTGGAGAAGCTATTTAAAAAAAAAAAAATTATGACAAATATTAAGTCAAAACTATTGTCAAGAGTCTAAGGCTGAAACTTGTCTTTAGAAACTCATGTTACTTAAACTGCAAGGTGAGAATTTTCTAGGGCTCACATATAATAGAACTACAGTGAAAAGAATTGCTAATCTTAGCCCCTTATTTAAGGAGTCTCTAGAAGAACCCAAAGAAAACAGGGAGACAAAAATAAGGACACTAGAGGAAGCCTTAGCCTCTGACACAATAACTACAGCAACTCATAAACTTCTAGCTACAGAAACGAAACACACTAAAGGCTTATCTATTGCTGTTCCTTTTACCAATACATAATGTCAAACTTCCTAGGACTATAGAGATTACCAACATT